ATCTTGGTCGACTCACATCTCTCTTTTAAGCTCCACGTGGAAAACCTGGTAAAGAAACTGAAAGTTAAACTGGGTTTCCTTTTCAGAAGCAGATCCTGTCTAACCCTGAACGCTAGGAAACACCTTGTATCTGTGATTTTCCTTCCCTCCATTGATTACGGTGACATTATTTACACATGAACGCTCCTACAAGAACCCTGCAGATGTTGGATGCTGTCTATCACGATGTGCTAAGATTCATAACTGGCAGTGAACAATACCCACCACTGCACCCAGTATTCATTGGTTAACTGGACATCATTAACTTCACACAGACTCTCCCACTGGTACATTTTCATCTTTAAATCACTTCTTGGTCTGCTGCCTTCTTACATCTCCTCCTACATGTCTCTGTGTGAGTGCAGCTACAGCGTGCACTCTCAGGACATTATTACCTGCAGTGTTCCCTCAGTGCGAACTGAACTTGGCAAAAGTGCCTTTTCCTACTCTGCTCCTGTTTCCCGGAATATCTTGCAAAAAGATTTGAAGCTCCCGACCTTGACCTCTCTAAGTGGCTTTAAGCATCTGATGGACTCCTGGCAAGAACCCGCGCATACGTTCCTGTTTTTAGTTTTCTACATTCGCCTTATAATCTAGCTGTTTTTTGCTACTTTTTTGCCATCTTATTTTAATTTGTAAAAATAAAAAAAAATATCTGTAAGCCTCTTTTATGATTGTCTATTGTTGTCGTTGTTGTCCACTGTTGTCATCACTCTGTTGAAATCAGGTCTCTCTTGTAAATGAGTCCTCGTGGCTCAGTGGGATTAACCATCTAAATAAAGGTTGAATGAATGAATTATTTCCTCCTCAGTGAGTTGAGACATCGCAGCAAAGGCTTCAACATTAAGTGATTTTTAAACATGCCAAGACGCCTTTAGGTTGAAGCCAAAATTTTACTGCCTTATTATTTTTCTCAAACAGAGCGACAATTAACTCAGTCACACATTCTTTCAGTTTTCACTCTTCAGCACATATTCGCAGCTTCATGTCAACATGGTGAAGGCAGAGGTCGCCCTGAAATCTCAGAAATCAGGAGATGAAAAGAGACAAAGACTAGGAGAAACCAAGACAGAGAAAAATAAGAGAAATGACCCACGAGTAGAAGTAAAAAAAAAAAACCAAGGAGAAGAAGAAGAAATGTATAAATCTGTGATTGCAGAGACAGCAGCTCCCACATGAGCAGCTGTAGCAGGATGGCCTTGCAGCTCCTGCCGTCTTCTCCACCGCTTTACATTTACTGGTATAAACTATCCCTTAAAGAATACAGCTTTGAGAAAGGTTATGACTTCCAGGATAATTTTTTTTTGTTTGTTTTTCATATAAGAGCCTGTTGGAGTTTGTTCTGTGTATAGGAAGACCGTTCCAAATTGTATTGACTCATAGAGGCTTTTTTTCCCTTGAGTACTTCTTCTTTCTACTATTCTTACTACTTCACCTTCATTCTCTTCTGACATGTTCAAATGTTTGTTTGATTCTCATAAATACAACTTGCCAGGATTAAGTATGGTTCTCAACTAAGGAACTTTTTACATATACAGTAGTCCCTCACCACTTCGCGGTTCGACATTCGTGGATTTGCGCGTTCATGGTTTTTCAACAATTGTCAACTTTAATATTACTCACCTGATTGGGTCTGTACGGGGTAAAAGTTAATGGAAAAACAAACAAAAAAATCATACAGGTGCCACCATTTTGTAGTTTTCTTCAATGAGCCTATACTATACTGTAACGCCAGTCAAAAGAACTACACTACCCAGAAGCCAACAGTGCTTCTGGCCGCTGCTTTCTTTTGAAATGGAGGGAAAGTTTTGTAACGCAAAGTCAAAAGTAACAATCTATTTATTAAGCTCACAGGACTGGCAGGAAAGTCACAATAATCCTGAAGCTCAATTATCCACATGCACATCAACGTGGACGGAGCAGTGGGCTTTGTCGCTGCAGGGTAGTCTGCCGAACTGGAACCGAGCTGCTGTTCTACAGAGCTGGTGAGTAAAATTTTGCAATACTGTACAGTACATATACATATGTTGGTCAAATGATGTACGTTTAAGAGTTTCAAACATTAAGAGTGTCGGCAGGATTTATAAAGCCTTAATATATATATATATATATATATATATATAGATAGATAGATAGATAGATAGATAGATAGATAGATAGATAGATAGATAGATATATCT